TTAGTATTCCGTGGCAGAACTAACTGCAGTGAAATGTCAGCTGTTTTTTTTTTCCCAGAAAGTGTCACTTGGCCATATTATTGATACTATGCTAAACTTGTATAAACTATGCTAAACCTGTACACACCAAAAAGTATGTTTGTCTAACAACATATTCTATACTTAAAAGTCAGATGTAAGAGTCTTTTTAGCAATAATTTTTGTTAGTGTAATTTAAACCCAGCATAATTTCTGGGCAACGATATGTAAATATCCACTATTGAAACTGACTGATTTTTATGAAGTGGAAAAAGAGAATAAAAAAGAGCGTGTGTTATCATACTAGTTACAAACCACTAAGACTATTAAATCACATAAAATTTATAGTGGGAAAATTTACTGCTGTGGCACTGAATGATTTTGTTGTTCCATTCAACTGTCTTACAAAACTAATGACATATTACTGCATCCTGACAAAAGTAATAACCCTCACCAATTCTCAGTAAATATTGCCAACCTGACAGTTTTGTACAAATGAATGACAATATTTTGACCAAAGAGAACAGAGATTGTACAAAAATGATGAGCAAGATAAACACAACAGACAACTGAAACTGAAAATCATGTTTTACCCATCATTAAGGAATCATTTCCACAGCTAATACCCATCTCCTGCAAAGCTTTGGCTTTTTGCTTGTTTATGTAAAGTCTGATTTTTAGGTGCTGCTCTATTTCTTCTAAAAACTTGTCCAGGTTCTTTGAAGAACGTATTTTCCAGCAAGATGTCAAGTATCAATTCTCATTTAAATAATAATACAAGTATCTAAGATATCTTAATATCTGAATTTTAAATAAGGCAACAATTCTTTGATGGTTTTAAATTTTTCTTTAATAAATAAGTGACAGTTGCTGTGGTTGAATTTTGTTATCATCCCTGGGACCACAGATATCTTAGGTAATAAATGTACCCAATTTCCGAAGACTCAGAAAACACACCGTGTTTCCCTGTACTTATGCAGTAAGGTGATATCCTCTCTATTCCCTACAGGAAAGGTATCAAAGCAGTACTCCCAAACTCTTCCCAATCTCCAACCAAGGCAAGCTGAGCTTGTTTCCCCAGTGAACAAATTTCGTCTCTAAGTACAACTTCAGTCTCTCCTTCTCCAACTAAGTGAACAAGGGGCTCCTCAACAACTGTTATGAAACAAGGACCATAAAATGTTTAATTCTTGGCAGGCCAAGTATATGACCACATCACTAAATTGAAGAATTTGCCTCTGTCTTTCATCACCTTTTCCTGGCATTATTCCAGTTATTGAATGTTTAATGATTAAACAATAACTGATCTGAGAAGACATCACTGTACAAACCTGGATGAGCCATTTAGGCCAAATATATTAGAGACAGATGAAATTTACTCTTTTAATCTGCATTTATTTATTTATATAATTTACATTTACTTTTTTATAAAAAGTGGAATATCTTCAGAGCAGAATTCTCATTATAAATGGAGTAGTCACTCATTCCCAGGGGAGAGACTTGAACTTCAGTCTCTCATGCACCAGATAACTGCTTCTGTGAAAAATCAGTGTTTCTCACTAGAGAAAGCTTCAGTAGAAAATTTCTATTTTAACAAAATAGAAAATCTATGCACTATTTTTGTACTGTATTTACAGGACATTGCCAGTTTATTTTGTTTTAAATATATTTTCTAGTATTTGTTTTAATTTAGCTTTTGGTACATTCTTAGTGCCTTACTAGAATATTTTTCTGTTTCATACTTGTTTTTCTAAAATAGGGTTTTGTCCTACCACACTTTAATGTATTTACATATGTTTTTCACATTGCGTACAATTTTCTCCCTCCTTCTTTTCTGACAATCTGTTCCCTAACTAGTTGCTTATTTGTTCTCCTTATATTCGTTCACATTTCAACATTTCTTTTACACTACCAAGTTTCAATTTTCAAATTAACAAAATAATGTTATCTTTTCATATAAACCCTTGTCAACTAGTGATAATATCTCTTACTCAAAAGACTGAATCTAAACAATAGGGGTAGATATAAAACATGGAATGAGAAGCATTACCTATAGGAATTGCACAGATGAAAAGAAAAATATATTTATAGCTACTTGAATTCTCAACAGGATTTTTCTCTTCAAATCTTTCCTCTGCAATGTGCAGAAGCCCCAAAATACTAGAATTTTAAAATAGAAAATTTTAAGTCTGTACATTGCTCCCTTGTTCCACACATGCTTGAGAGGCGGGGTTTCTTAATTCTTTTTTCCTCAGAAGTGTTGCATCAGAGAGAAATAGTTTCTACTCTTCCCTTAACTTCTTTTTTAGAAGTATCAGTTCATCCTGCTCATTCCTTTGCTCACTGATAACCCCAGCTGCTGCACCCCTGTTTTCAGTTTTTCCAAGACTTGAACTGAGATGAGAAGCATAGAGAAAAGCAGTAAAACTGTGGGGTTTGGCTTTTTTTTGCTTGTGTGGGCTTTTTCTTTTCTGAATTGTTCCTGCACACAGGACATTCAAGCACTACTTCTGTAATCCCTAATTTTTATTTTTTTTATTAGAACCTATAGTCAGCAAATGTCTTATTAAACTGGCTGCAATGCCTGCATGTGTTGCTAAGTCACATTAGATCATGGGAATTTTCAAATCCCACATATCATTATCCACTTCAAATTCACGTAAGCCTATTAGAAAAAAAAAATCCATGTTCTCTTGTCACCAGCACTGATGCTTTGATAAGGTCTGCTGGTTTCATTCAAGAATGAGACCTCTCCTTAGAAGAAACATAGAAAGATCTAGGAAAAAAATTCCCTACTTCAAATAATGTTGCATGAGGGACTAGCACAATTTTCATTCAGGCTATTTATCATCTAGGCTAGTTATTTTCATTTCATAAGTGACATAAGTGACTAAATCAACTAGACGACTGAACACCAGAAAAGGATGCAATTTTTACCATTATTTGTATTATATGGAGACATTACACTCAGTCTACCATAACTTCCTCCATTTAGAAATGTAATTTATATGATCTGTGCCTGACGCTGACATGATATCAGCATGTACCTTTATACATTCTCTTTTTAGTCATAACCAAATGATTCTAAATATTTTCACTGCAGTCCAACTTCCATAAAATACTACCTTATCTAACCAGATACACAACCAATTCCCAGTACAGGGATAAAAGGATACAAAAAAACAGCAACACATTTAATGAGATTAATGAATTTGATTTAACACAACTGAATACAATCTATTCTTCATTTTGCATGCAAAAAAATCACTGTAAATAGTATGTGTCCTAAACATGTAGTACACTTACCAGAATTTTAAGATGCACAAAAAGAGACAGTAGGTTTTACAATAGATGGAATTACTGAACTAAAGAGAACTACAAATTTAAAAACCGTATTAAGGAAAAGTTCAAAGATTAGAACATAAAGTTTGCTGTACCAATGTTATTTAATGATTACATTTTGGTAAAAACATTTTCTCATTCAACAATTGGGACTTCTTCCTGTATTGTTTTTTAAAGAAGCATTCAAAATGCAAAGATAAATAATCTGGTTTTAAGTATAACAGCCATTTGAGAAAACAGAGTTTTGATCTCTGTCATACTGGCACAGACCACTGCACAAAATAAATAAAAATAACAAACCAACAAAAGAAATGTAATTTTCCTCAACTAGAAATAACCCTTAAAAATGATCTGTAAAATTAGGGTTAGTATCTCAGTTTGAAATACTCGGTCTGTCATGTTACTCAAGACAGCAGCATCCCTAGGACAGAACAAAAATGCAAGCATGTAAGCACGTACAAAAGCATGCACAAAAATTGAAGTAGCTACACCTATTTGGGTTTCTTGGAAAATGTTTTGGAACCAGCACTAGAAGTCCCATACTGGACCTACCATACATCTGTACAGCACTCAGTAATCCTGAGGTACTTTTTATTCTGTCTAAATCTGAACCTTGATTTAAAGTGAATAAAAAACTTTATGTTAGGAAAAGATAAGCCTCACTTTCACAGGCTAGATTTCTTTTTCTCACGAAGTGTAGTCTGGTACTTTGATAGTGACCAAAACAAACAAAAAATAACTTAATGGCCTAATGTTTTTGTATGTTTCCTTCCTTTGCTTTATTGAAAAAAGTACCATTTTTTATCCTGAATATTTTAAAGACAGCTGCAAAAATTACCCATCAACTGCAAAAATTAATCACCTAGCAAAATATGTAACAGTGACAATGACAACACTGATATTTACAGTAGAACATTAGCTTAACTTGGCAAGTATAATAGAAACAATGAGTCTTAAAAAAAGCTCTTCAAATGTTTACTACAGGAAGTTTCCTTTAGGCAGCAGGGTGCATATGATTAATTACTCCTGCAATGCTCCAATGACAAAAACATAACACAAATTGTCCACTATCTCTCTAATAGATATAACAAAATAGTGTCAAGAAAATGTGAATGTCTTCTATTGTCAAATATTGATAAGTAAATCAGAATGAATCGGTATTAAGTGCAAATCTGAAAAAGACTGTGCCTTTAATAAATTCAGTAAAAACAATTGCTTGTTATCATGAAAGCTCATGTTACCATTAGATTACAGCAGTCATTGTGCAGTAATATGTACAAATTAAATGAAATATAAAAGAAAACAATCCAAATTGTAACAAATTTCTGTAGTGTCTTCTGCTGCACTGCATCAGCTGCTACGGGCTCTTGTCATAGTATCAGCCATATTAAACTATATGGTGGTCCCAACACAAAATGACATGCAACTAAATTTTATTTTACTGCAAGACGGGAACTTGGTTCCTCTAGAAGAAAGTTCCAACAAAACAAAAATATTCCCATCACAATGATCACACAGTAACACATTGAATACTGACTGATAAAAAAATTAAAACATCACAGGTTCACACAGTTCTTCATGCTCAGGCACACACATGCACATCCACAGAACACACCTTACATCCCTGAACTTTCACTTACCTCAATAGCTCTCTTTATGTATGGTATTTGTGTCCCACTGTCCAGATCTTCATTAATTATGAGTCTCCTAGCCCACTGACCAGCTCTGACAACACCATTACCATGAATTAAGACCAACAGCTTGTCAGGATTTACTAATGCATCTTCACTCATAAAGATAAAGCTCTTTGGTTCAGTCTCAATTGCATCAACCTGCAGTTACAGACAACACACATTTTAATGCATCAATATAATTATTTGAAAGAAATCTGTAGTTATAAAATTATCTACCAAATTTATATAAAAACATTGACCAATAAACAATGATTTCAATGCATGTGTGTCCAGGACTAAATAAAAATAAAGCAAAATAAATATCGTAACTCTGAAACACATGAACATACAACATTTTATAACATCAATCCAAGGGATATTTAACATTAAGAAAAGGGGTAAAAGGTGTGCTTAAGCCTTGAAATGTCAGTTGTTTACAAAAACTTGCAGGAAAGGAAGAAAGTCCATAAATGAGCAATAGGAGGTGGTGAGAGGGAAAGAAGTCAATAATTTCTCACCTCTGATATGCCTGAAGCAACAATAAATTCTTACATAATATGAAAAAATTATCCTGGAGAGTTCCAAATCAGCCACCTCAACAATAAATACTCAATAAGCTTGATACATAAAGGAACCAGTACTGCAAATTTGTCTGTTACAAGTTTAATAGAATCGGTCTAATAAAATATAGAAATCCAATTTGGTTTTAAATAATAGATTCATTAATAGTCCTCCTGTACCAGGGTCAATGCTTAGCTACTTTGCTGTAGGAAGAGACCAACAATTAGCTTTGATATTCATCAAATTGAAGTCTAATAGCATATTTTGTCTTTAAGAGAGTAAAGGAGCACTTTTTCTTCAATATAAACTAAAGTTTTTATACTTGGTTTAGCAATCCTGTCTCAAGACAAAAAACTGTCCTGATGCAAATACCATGAGGGCAAAACAAATCTTTATGCCTACATGTTCTCTTTCTACTATATGAATACATAGAAAAGAAAAAACAAAACAGGCAAATCTCCCCCTCCTACTGTATTCCACACCCCTCCACCTCCACAGCCTAACTGTCCATCTGCTAGGAACACTGCAACAGAGAAGAAAAACAGATCAGGTTATGATCTCCATGCTGAGAAAGAAGAAATCAGCTATTTGGATTAGTTTTGGTCGTTTTTTCTCATATATGGGTATGAATTCTTAACTACCCTTATAATAGGAAAAATTAATTCTGCATGCACCTTCAGACTTTTTTAATGTCAGTCCTAACAAACCTTTTTTAAAATTAAGTCAATGAGGCTACTTGAACAAAACAAATCTGTAAATGAAAGAATGGTCATGTCTCTCTTCAGTATTTGCCACAGCACTGAAGACCTTATTCCCCTGCTCCGATATAAAGTAACATCTCACATGCCTCAGAGTTTGCACAGGAAATGTACTCAATTTCTCTCACACTTTGTGCAAAAATAGAAAATATGGTAAAGAATATGTTCTATTGAAAAGACGGGGCCTACAGTCAGATCATGCTGCTGCTTCTGAAATAGCAGTACTGACACCTTAAAAGGTGAAATAGATTAGGTAAAAAGTCAGCCAACACTGAATCTCAGATAGCACTCGGCAACATTTAAGTGACTTCTACCCACAAACTGAATATTTACAACACTATAATTAGGAAAAAAACCCTGTGGATTTGCATTTCAGACTAATGTGCAACTTAGCCGTAGGTTTTAGCTCTTATATTAATTGTGAGTGCTAAAGTTTATATAGTAATATATAGGAAATACTAGCATGTAGCAGTCATATGTACTAGAAGATACAGCTAGCTCACATTTCTGCAAATAATTTAATTTCAAACAGCTAAAATTATCTACCAAGACCATAAAAAATTACTTTTGAGTCTTTTCCCAAAATTAAACACATTTACAGACATTTTGTTGAGCTGATTTACCTTCAAACAGTAGTAATTTATTACATCCAACTTCCACTAAAGAATGCACGTAAATATCACTTCTATACACAATCTTACTTTACTGACAGATTAACACAGAATACCATTTAATGCCAGACACACTGAGGCCACATAAAATACTTTGCAATTATTAGCTACTTGTTCTTCTAGACCTACTCAAGGTCATGGATTTCTGATCACTTAAATCTAAACTGAATAAATACAGGAAAATATTTTTTAGATTAAACTATTTGATTCAACATTGTTATTTATAGGTGAAAACAATTCCAGTAATCTCTACTAGGCATGCCAAACCTATCTAAGTTATGATGATAATTTACTGTTTAAAACTATTGTTTAATTTTCCTTTTCTTGGATTTTTTTCCAATGCACAGTAATTCCCTAGGCAGCTATGGTGAGCTCTTTACATATATTATGAGATTCTTATATATATATGAGATTTCATATATATGAGATTCTTCATGTTTTCAAACAGTGAACTTCCTTTTCTTTTCTTTTTTTCCACATGATTTCTATCTCAAATGAGTTTTCATCTAATACAGTAGTACCAGTCTATAAAGTATTTCAGCAGCACACTAATTAGTATTTTGCACAGCTGCTATGAATATATACAGTAAAATCAAACTACACTTGAAATCTAATCTTATTGTTATCCATGCTACCACATCAACAATTACCCATGACTAATCCAAGATTTACGAGATCTGAGAGGGTTCCAGGAGTCTTTTATTCTATATATTGGAGGTTTATAAGAGTGAATGTTGACAGGAAAGAAAATCCACAAGTATTTTTCTTATTATTTTTCTTACTAAGTATTTTTCTTATTTCAGTTGAGAAACATGACAAAATTATGAGCCTTGAGCCCACAAAGTAGGTATAAACTGTAACTGGAGGAAGAACATGGCATGTGAGTGGAATTGAAACTGATAAGACCCAAAAACAATTGTGAGAATTGTGAGCAGCTGGTGGAGAGAAAAATCTGCTCATTTGCTTCCCAAGATGAAAAGTCATCTTCTGTGTGTTTCAACATAAACCTCACTAACTCACTTTACACAGGATTTAGAATTTTTCAAAATTTTTCAAAAATGTAAAACTGAGAACTGCTGATGAATACTACAGGCAGCTAATCAACATTTGACTATTACCACAACTAACTTAGCAAACCTAAAATCTGTGGAAATTTTACAAACAAGTATTAACTTCACTTAAGTAACAAAACTGGCAAAAGGAACGTGCATTGGAGATACCAGATCATTGTTTCTCAAAGAAAAATAATTCTTCAATGAACTTTTTCCTACTGAAGTGAAAGAGGAAAGCACGGATAACTGAAAAGATTCTGCAAAGGAGACATTTCAATGCCATTGCAAATTAAACATATGTCCTGGTTTCAGCCAGGATAGAGTTAATTTCTTCTCAGTAGCTGATACAATGCAGTGTTTTGGCTTCAGACCAAGAATGGTATTGATAACACTTACGTTTAACACTGATATTTTGTTTTTCTACTAAGTTGTACTTATCCAAAGTCAAGGACTTCCCTTTCCTTGTCTCACGCTCTGCCAGTGAAAAGGTATGCAAAATAAACTCAGAGGGAGCATGGCTGGGACACGTGCCCTGAACTGGCAAAGGAATATTCCACACCCCAGAATATCACGCCCAGGATGTAAACTGGGGGGAGTTACCTAGAAGTATGGCCAATCTGGGTTCAGGAATCAGGAGTCTGGCACTTGGCATTGCACGTAATTTGTTTTTTGTCTTATTATTGTAATTTACCATTATCACTGTATTTTACTTTGCTTTAGGTTGTTAAACTGGTTTTATCTCAGCTAACAAGTTTTACTTTGATTCTCCTCCCCATTCCATTGGGGTTGAGGGAGGTAAAAGGAGGGCTGAGCAAGGAGCTGCATGGTGCTTAATTTCCAACCAGGCTTAACACCCCTACAATATGTTAGTAATTATTTAAACTTCCATCTCAGGCTTCCCCAGAAGCTGTTAAAGATGCAGTTAACTTAGACGCACACTCTATTTGTCCTCAGCAGCTAAAGAAGAGCAAAGGTCAATCACTGATTATGCCACTACAACTAGAGAAATACAAATATTTCAGGTAGCTAAAAAAATGTGGTCTTCATTTTACTCCTAATATAACCTTCAATGGAGCGCAAAATGAAACTTTAGAAGTAGTAACTGAATGGCCTCTCCCTAAATATGAGACTCTTTATTAAAATGTTTAAGTCCAGTAGTATATGTTGAACATTATTAGAAGTGCAGTGCTTTATAGGAACAATAATTCAGCATGGATTATTCAGCATGGATTACTCAGGCCTCCTTGAGTAGGAAAAATGTTCAGAATATTTTAGTCAAAGATGCTGGCATAATACAATACTGGGCAAGCTCTCCTGATATGCCAACTGGTCTTACTTGCATATCTGAGAACAAATTAATTAATTTTTGTACCCTAAACTAAAGCTGCCACCTAGGAAAACAAGACAAAGACAGCAAGTTGGACTTTGCACACAAGGTTGAAATTAAGGAAGATAAAAGAACATAAAATGCCATCATGCTAAACCTTTGAAGCATAGCATTTCCATTCCCTACTAAAATTATGCTGAGAAAAAGCACACTCCATCTAATACAGTCCTGAAACACATTTCAAATATTTAAAAATCACAGCACTGCCAGCTTTATTATCAGCTGACAGAAAAAGGAAAGCCAATACAACAACTTTCTAATCACCTGTGATGAAGTTAAAAGAAAAAAAGTTTTTGCACTCATATCTAAAATATGCATATGAAAAGGCAGTGTATATTATATGTGTGTGTATATATATATACACACATACATATGAACCATCTTGGTCGGACTAAGGCCCAGGGTCCTGTTTCTGACAACTGGCAGATTGCATAGGGGAATAGTAAAAACAGAGTGGTTGTAGAGTGATTCTTGCCTGGCTTTGACAGCCAGTAACTTTAGACCCTTGCTAGCCACAGTTTATACAACTGGGCAAGCACATAAAATAGTTCAAGGCACCTATCCCACCTCAATATCGTCAAATGGTTTTTTTGACTGCACTTTACCTCCCTCCTTGATAGTATTCTGTGGCAATGAGTTCCACAATATAATTGGGACATATATGAAATAATACTGTCTCTTTCAGTAGAGATCTCCTGCCTGATAATTTAAACTTGATGCCCCTTAGGTTCTCTATTATGAAAAAGGCAAAAACCCATTTCCTATTCATCTTCTCTTCACCTTTCATGATTTTATAGATTTGTCATATTCCTTCCTCAGCCATCTATTTTCCAAGCTGAAGAATCTTTGTTTAATCTTTCTTTGTCTGAAAAGAATTTCATGCCTGTGATCATCCTTGCAACCCTCCTCTGTATTTCTTTTTAATTCTTCATATCCTTTTTGATATGGTATCCAGACTTCACGCAGTGTTTAACATGAGGGCCCACATAATGAGTGGAATGATGATGTTTTTCTGTTTTGTTCTTGATACCTCGTAATTCCAACCATCCTATTTGCTTTGAGGGTTTTTGACTGCCATTGAGCACTCACTGATGTTCTCAGAGAACTACTCACAATCACTCCAAGCTCTTTCCTGAATTGTAATAGCGCATTTAGAGGCCACTGTTGTGTTTACAGAGTGAGTTATCTTCCCATAATTTTGTATTTACCAAAATTGAATCTCCTGTCATTTAATCATCCAGTTATTCAGCTTCAATAATTTCCCAACTCATCATAACCTGCTTTAGGTTTAACTATCCCAAATAATTTTCACAAAAAAACCCAGAGAAGTTTGTTAGCTTGTATTATTTCCTTTTGCTTACAACCATGTCAGGCCCTAAAAACATTTCACTGATAACAGTTTATTTAATCTGTAAAATCTGAACACCTTTCTCCCCTTCTAACCTATTAACTCTTAAGTTAATAAAAAAGCACAGGAGACTACCTTCTCCTGTGCTTTTTAAACGCATTTAAGTTTGTTGACAGTTCATTGGAAATATCTGTACTCTTTCTGACAAGATTTTTCTTCTTCATGCAAGCTCTGATGCCTGCAATGAATTCTGGATTTTTTTTAAAGAAACTTGTACTAATTATTAGTACAAGATATATAGTTTATATATTATATATTATACATTATTATTAATAGCTGATTTCAGCAGTAAGTTAAATTGGTTGTTCTGCAGCTTCATGTTTGACTTCTTATAGAACCCTAGGTTTAAAAAAAACTCTCATCCTGGAATTTGCTTATTGTACAATATATTAATTTGTCCTCAGGTCTTCTCTATTGATATGACAAATTTCAGACAGTTGCTCAGAACTATATCCTGTTTAGAAACAAAAATTAAGTTTGTGGAAATTGGACAAGTAGTATTGGAATTAATAATGTTAGTTTTTCTTATTTGACCTTGGTGTTCATTTTAGCTGCAGTTCAGCTACTGGTCTTACCAGCTCTCTTTTATTATTAGCCTTTATAATTCTAACAAGCTCCTCAAATTTGGTTTTTCTGAACTTTCTGTGATTTTACATGCAACTTACCAACATTTATACTCTCTTCTATTCTCACCCTAAAAGCTGTTTTATTACTTTTACTAGTTTCCGTTATTAGTTTCAACTAGAGAGTTTTGTGTCCTTACTTGTGAGTCTTTCAGTGGTAATTTAAACCTAGCTTTTACACAGCTTTAATTTTTAAAATTCAAGATATATTGTTTTAATTTTTCACTTTTGTATATGCCTTCATAACCTATTTTTGAAGGTGGTGAGGGCTAGCTACACATAACATCTCCTCCTGAAGAACAGTGTTCATATGTCATGTGAATTTTTCCACAATGTTCACAATTAGACATCTGCATATTTTGTGTCTTCTTATTTTGCTCCAAAATGCAATTAAATTATGACACTTCACAGAAGCTGAAAATCATATATTTGAGAATAGCTTAAATGTATTACTGAACAGCTGTATCCATTGTCACTATATAATTTCTAAATACAAGTAAAGAGATTAATCCAAAAGTGGGAACTAGCCAGGACCGTTCCTCTTCCAAGCCAAGAAACCCAGACCTTAGAGCCAGGCAGATGAATCACCACAGGTGTGACATAGGTGATGGAGGTGCTGTAATACTTATCCTGAGTTTCTTCATCTTCATGCTTGGGAGCTAATAGACCAGTTTTAGCACTGCTCCACTTATATGCATATTCTTCATATTATTTTTTACAAATCAAAGAAAATCCTATAGCCTTAAAATCCAGGCACTTCAAAGTTTATAAAAGACAGCTTCATAGTTTCACAGACAAGTGTGACATGGCTTGAGAAGTCTTTTGATACATTTTCTTTCTGAAGTACTTTTTGGACCAAGAAAGAAAATTAGCCAAAAAGCTGGAGATCGTAACTAGCACTGCACCAGTCAATCTATCATGATGAACCCAATCCTATGTCTGCCTACACAATAAAATCTGAAGTGCGGAAATGGTTTCTCAGTCTTGGCTCACAGGGCATTGGTGCAAGCACTAAGCTGGGAGTATTGCTCTTCGATTTCTCTGTGAACTTTGTAGCTCAGCTCCTTCTGCCATGACCACGAGACACTGGAAAAGCCTTCTAGGAAACTGTAAGTAGTTTGGTCAGGTCATCAAAACATTCCCTAAGTAACACTCAGGGAATAGAAATGGGAACAGTGAAATGTTACAGAACTGTTAAGGCAAAAGACCTTTTCCTTCCGTAGCCTAAACAGGTTTTCCTTGACTGAATATGAAGGTTCTTCTGAGAACGACAGCAATTCAAAAATTTCAAAGAGCATAGGAATAATCCTTCATAATGATGGAAAATCTACATAGTGCTGTCACACTCCAGTCTCCCCTGTGCTTTCCAGTACAGAATATAAAATTATCTGAACATCATCATATCACATCACATGTATTTATAAACACTCTGATATGCGGGGGAGCACTTCATCTTTTCCAAGGGTTGATTAAATATTTTCACTAAGCAACAAAAGCACTTTATATTACATACATATTACAAATTACTGAAAAGGCATTTTTTAAAAAATGACTTGGAGTGTTTTACTGATACTGAATGTGAGGGTAGTCTGCTGCCTGCAAAGACATTTCTGCTCTCTACACCCAGCTGTAGACACCTCAAAATATCCACAAATATTTTTTAGAAAGCTTACAGCATTCCTATTAAAAGCACCACATTTTGAAGAATCTGGTAAGGTAAGGGAGGCGCAGCTGGAAAAATCAAACACATGAGAACTAAGGTGGAACCACATCTCCAGATGCATACACATGCAAAATGCAAAGGCAGTGTCCTGAAACAATGCCCTGCACAGAGCTCTGGCACACCTTGTCTTTATATGAATATGGGTTCACAGGCTATGCTGGGTACAGATTAAAAAAAAAAGTCTTTGGAAAAATAAATTATACTTACGGGAAGAGTTACTTTCTTCAAATGGCATTCATTCTGCAGTAGTTCATAAATGTATTTAGTAATGATCTGGAATAAAAGAAAAAATAGAAATGACACCAGATACTAAAACACGTACAATAATGACATATATAGGTAGACAAAGGCTAATTGGTTAAACTTCTAAACACTTTTATACATTTTGCCACTTTCCTGAATCCTTTACTGTATAACTAATTATAGAACTTGGAGCCTTAGACATAAAATTCTATGTTTCACAGAAAGACTTCTTGCGAGTACAATGGAAGGGTAACTGTACCTGTGAACCCACCATGCACTAGTCTATGAATAATTAGGTGAATAACAACCTCAAAACTAAGTTTTATAACCAATTAATATATAATTGGTGTGTAGAAAAAAAGGCTCTCTTTGTAAATAAATACTTCTAAAGCATTTTGTCTACGAGCTGATTTCTGGAATTCTCTACCCTCCAGGTTCACTTCATGATTTACATGGAGAGCAGGTTTGTAGAATCCTCAGCTAAGCTACCTTGCCATTTCTACTCACTGAACAGGGGAGGTATGGTTCACAGACTGCTAAATAGAAGAAAACCCCATACAGAATGCCCACTATGGGGGAGTTTATGTCCCTTTTCTCTGTGTAGGAATAAAACTGAAATTTCAATATTGAAACCAAAGATGCCATTTCAGAAAGCAACAAAATTAAGAAAGGAAAAAAACCCAAAAACCAAACAAGACACCAAAAAAAACCACAAACAAAAACACCTAAACAAACAAAAACAACAAAAACCCAAACAAAACCACAAAATCAAAACAAACCAAAGCACGCGAGAAAACAAAAAAATACAAAACCCCAAACCCCACAAAAATCAACCTTGTTGCAACAAAAGACTCGTCCTCTTAAATGCAACAAAGTTGTTCACATTTCAAATTCTTGCCTATTACCTAGGGATATTTTTTTTTCTGCCCTTACATATTCTAAGAAAAATGGAGATGAAGATGTAAGTACTTTCTAACTATAATTAATTTGGGAATTAAACTGAGGAACAAACAGGCACTTCATCTATGTAAAAATTATGTGATTGTTACTGCCTGGATTTCAATGGTTATAAGAGTTGGAAGAGAGAAAAAAAAAGGAAAATTAAAGAAGAAAAATAAAGGACTCATTTCAGGAGGCTGGAATGGTGTTTGCCTTCTCTTTAAAGCTCAGGGGATGGTATTTAAATTCCAGACAGGACAAGATCTAAGTCTCAGAATATTAATCCAAGAATATTTGGATACAAATCCGGACAGTATTCTTTAGACAAGCACCTCAAGGCCACAGTTACATCCATCTGAACTCACAGTATATTTAAGACCGATATAACAGAAACATCGTTATTAACAAAGGTCTCAAGTGATGGCATCTTAACTACACACTATCATCCAAGCAAGTAGGAGCCAGGGTGTCATAAACTTCAAATTTAACTTTCCAAATGCACAATTAAAAAAAGAAGTTTCAATAAAGTACAAAAGTTTTATTATGTAAATGTGAGGAAACACAATATGCAAATGTTTTGATCACATAGGCACAAACTGCAAGTGCTACTGAAAGCTAATTAAAAATGTTGGTATATGCCCCTCCTTTCCTTTCTCTAAACCCCCAAATTTTTATTATGATTATAAGAATTCTTTCTGATCCTGCTCAAATACATTTACTGATAGAATTATGTTCAAAAAACGTCATGGTTTACAGAAACTCAGTCCTTCTGAACATTATTATCTATACAGAAACTGCATTTGGAGAAGGAACTCAGCGGCGAGCGATGAGTTGATTTAATACATGTTTATCCCCAAAGCAGTATTCTAGGAACATGCATACAGTGTAATTTTACCTTCAGGGGCAAACTTTTTATGGTTCACCGAAATCAACTACAGTGTAACACCAACAAGTAAAGCAGTTATGTTCCTGCAGTCTCAAATGCTAATGTTGTACCGATATTGAGTATAATGATAACATGGACTACAACATGGAAATTTTGGTTTTAACTCTCAATTCAGGCATCTACTCACTGTTAAAATCACTAAAAGAAAACTTGGAAGCGAAAAACTGCTATGCAGAAAATATACTTTAGGCACCACTTGTGAAAGTCTACCCTTTTTACATCTGTTTGTATCTATTTCTTCTATTCTTTCTCATTTATTTAGACTGTGTGTCTTCAGAGCAGAAAAAACCTTTACTCAATTTTTCCACAGCCCATCTCAATGGGGCTGTCATTCTAACTAACTCTTTATGCACTACTCTAATACAATAAAGAGCAATACAGCCTTAAAAATAGGAGTGTTCAATCAGTAGAACACTCTGGTGTGACAAAGACTTAACCTAATGAATACTTTCAATAAAAGCAAACATAAAGAAAGATACAGGAGGTGGAGGCTTAACATCTTCAGACAGCTCAGCACCTGGATGTCCTGCATTGCCCAGGGAGATTTCAGGAAAAAATGCCATTTAAAAACCCCTCAAACAAGACAACCCCTAAAAACTGCCGCAGTCTATATATATGTATATATATATATGTATATATATGTATATGTACCTATACATGTATATGTATATGTGAGGGGGTGAGTGTGTGTATGTATGTAGCCATAGGAGGGGTTGAGGGCTTTTTTGCAGTAGATCAACATGTTTAGGGATATCCTAGCAATGGCTGGTGCACTAGCAGTCATAAATGATGTAAACTGATACACAAGACTTCTTGAAGTGCCATACAAGTCCAAAATTTTCAAGATTTGAAAACATCACTAATGGCCAGACTTCCTGCACTCTACCATAGATGTGTTTGGAAAATTTGACAAAATTCAAGTCCTGCCTAGGAAAATCTAGCAAAATTCTGTCCAAACTAAGAATATGGCTGCAATACATCCAACACTATCTTTGGATTTTTATGCTTTTATCAACTTCTTCTGATATTATGGTTGGTAAGTAATTTAAAAAATAATAATTCTCAAAGTATCTTTCCTACAGGAAGCAAAAAGAAATGCAAACTGTGTGATATTTTTAATATAGAACTAGTTAGACTTAGTACTTCAAATCTATACAATTTATATAGCCACAACTTCTCTAAGTAGCAATATAATCTTATGCATGCTGGTGTTCTATATTTTACATGTAAAAACTATTGTAGAAACTACTCTAGAATGTTGAGAAGCGTATTTTGACTTCTTGCATGAATAGGTGGCTCTGGTTACACTCTATGAACTCTCCTGGACTAATTATCACTCAGTCACACAGCTACTCATCAGCGCAGGTATGTAATGACAGAGGCTGATCAATTCAGTCCTACATCAATAAATCATCTGAACTATCAAACAACAAATTGTTCAGATCCAGACATTCTCAGCGCAAACTGCAGCACTTACTAGAGAGTCCTATTCATGGTAGTCATGCTAAACTGGGATAGCTGCACTTTTCCTAAAGCTCTTGAAACTGGTTAAGGTGTGGCAAATCTGTAAGCAGAATAATTCAAGGTAATAAGGTGGATGAAGAACAGGTATCACTGTGTCCAAGACTGAAAAAAAAAAAAACACACAAACAAACAAACAAAACCAAAAACAAAACAAAACAAACAAACAAAAAAACCCCCCAAAAAACCCCCAAAAACCAAAAAATCCAACAAAAAAGAACCAATAGTAAGACCTGCCTACAGTGTATGAAATTAATTGCCTTACAAATGGAGAAGAAACTGAAAGTTCTGTATTTCTTGTATGAGATACTGAAAACTTCCACCTCATATTAGAGTATTTCTGTGCTTCATACACATCCAAGTGCTGTCTAACAGGAAAATACATCCTAAATAAGATAAATATCTGAAGTTTAAAACTATCAAGGTCTTCTTACTGACTGTTGAGTGAACTGGAGGAAGGAAAAAAAAAATCCAAAACACAAATACCAAAAAATTCCATGCCTCTCTATTCTGATAGCAATGGAACAATCCTGTCCAGCCATGGAAAGCTTAACACTTCGACTGTCAAAAAAGGTTGCACTCAAACTGAGTGATAGAGGAAATTTTCTTCTTAGAACAAAGTGGTCTTCTCTGGAAGGAAACTACATTGCCTGTATTTTAAATTGCTCTCATTGAGCAGAGGAGCCTGTGTTCTGCTTTCCCTAAGCCTGAGAAACTTCTGCCCTAAATGAAATCACAGCTATTCTAATGTTGTTGTACTAAAAAAATTCCTGTAATAAAGGCAAGCTGATGAGAGCAGGGACCACAGACAAGTAGAACACATCCTGAGCACTAAAACCAAGTAGATTATTCTCAGCATATTAAAAGCACAAGTATATAATCTCTGCTATCATTTCTTTGTTGTAGTTTTCCTTCACCTGTGGTGAACAAGGTTGAGAGCCTTAATCCATATGGTTCAGGAGTGGAACCAACGTTCAGTGCTCACAGAAAGTGCCTTTCTCAGGAGCTTAAAATAAGTCAGTCTTGATTTATGTTGGATATAACACAGAATCCCTCCAGAAGTGCCTTTTCAAAGCGCTAGTGGTCTCAAATACGTAATCTACAAAGTCCAATAGCCTTATGGATAATTGGGGTATAGACCTACATCGTGACCAATGAGCCTTCATATGGATCCAGAAAACAGGCTATTTTAATGACAAAAAAATTAAATATAATGACTTGGACAGAATGCAAAAAGAACAGAGAGAAGCACTTTATCTTATGACAGACCTGAGATTTTACCATTGCATTGCAAAATATTCTGACAACAGGACTATAATGCTGCTTACACTCTGCAGAGCAACACTAAAACTACAAGGGGAAACCTAGTTCTGGTATACACAAATGTAATGTAAATTAATTGGCAAGGTCCTGGCTTTCTACAACATATGCTCTTTTATGATTATGGTTCATATAGAGGACTTTCTTACTAATTGTTTTCAATGACTAAAAAGCATTGAGAAAATTTTAATTTTTGAAATCTTTGCAATACAGCATTCTGAAACTATACAATCAAAAGATCTATACCTGTATAGAACTATGTGAAAACTGAAATTAAAGACTAAGAACCAGTGACACCATATTT